CTGTGTGTGTGTGTGTGTGTGTGTGTGTGTGAAGAACTTATGTTACATTACAAGGTTCACCTATTCAGTGTCCTGTTACTTACAGCCATCAGCTGGATAATTTTAGAGAGAAAAAAATAAATAAACTGGTATTTAGCTGCATAATGCTGCTGAAACAGAGGTAGATGAAACTGTCAACTCTTGTTGGTCTCACTTTCCCCTTTTCCAGTTCTAGGTGTGGGTTGCCCTGAACTTTGAGATTTGTTGTTTTTTTGTTAGTTTGCTTTTGTATTTAAGCTTGCCCAGAAGTTCCTAAGCATGTTTGCACACATGCATTTTCCCTTGATCTACACACCTTTGCAAGTGACTTTCCTAATATAGCATTTTTGAAAGCTGTTTTCCCTAATATACAGTTTTTGTATGCATTTTTAAACATGGGAGAACTGCATTGCAGACTTGGGAAAGATAAACTGAGTTTCAGTTCGGACAATGATTCAAAAGTGCAAAATTAGGTGTCTTTGTATGAAAATAGTCTGAACATGATGGTTCCACAAAGCTATAGGACAATATCATATTGTGCCCGTGCATTTGTGGGGTCGCTGTATGAGCAACGGGGCTCTTGTGCTTCTAAAATGAACCCCGAATGAGCTAGTTTCTGCACAGTCAGCAGAGGTTGTAGAAGTGCCCTGACGCAGAATAATATTTTGCAATTTTCTATTGTATTTTAGAAATGCCAAAGCCCCACTGCAAGTACAGTGACTCCTCTGAGTGCTGCAGAACCAGCAGAAGTGAAGTGCCTCTGCCGAGCACAGCCCACAGTGACCAGCGGCTGTTGGCAGGCAGGCCTGTTCACTCAGCATGTGTATAACCCCCTTGGCGCCCCTAAGGCAGCTGCAATCGCTGTGTTGAGGACGGTAAGCGGTCTGAGAGTCTCAGGCAGCATGTAGTCTACCAACTCTCCATCTTGCACACATGCACACACACACACCAGCTCCAAGCCCTCTGTGCAGCTGACAAAGCCACCTAGATGTTTCAAAAGGCGAAGAAAGTCCCTACCTAGATCTCCTGGGAGTTTCAGCTTTCACGCAAGCGAGAGTCGAGGTCAGTGGCTGCCAAGAAGAGTGATGCACTTGATGCAGTACCCAGTTATCAAGTTCACCCTTTGCTCGGGAATCTGTTAGGAGTCAGATTGCCATAGGTTAATCGAGGACTTTAGCAGGTTTGTCTTCTGTCCTACAGAGAAGGAAGAAAGCCACTATGTTAAAAATGTTTTAATAAATAAATAAACAAACAAACAAACTATGCTAAGATATTTTGAGACTCCTCCACTGACAAAATAGATGGCCTGGCTGAGTGGATGAGTAATCACTCCTCTTGCACCCTGCATGTCCAGAAACATTTATTACCCATTCCTAAGCAGATTTATATGCTTTTCTTATAGGCTTGACTCTGCATGGCTCCTGTTTGCCCTTGGCATTCTGTTTCTTTGTCTGTACCACTGTTATTCCTTGCATTGTCTTTTCCATTACTTTTCTTTTTCTTTCAATATGAGAAAATTGGAGGTTTAGAACATGCAAAAAGACCCTTGAAGGGGCCTTTTTAGTGGTGGTACTGAAACTGTGGAATAGCCTCGCCATCTTCAGCAGACCCATCTTTTCCCTAACTTTAAAAAGGCATTCTCTTTCATCTCCTTTAGGATATATGGAATTTAAAGTGCACTAATGCCAACACAGATGGGTGATAACTATAATTATCTATTAACTATATAGATGAACAGAGCGATCCTTTGTACCAAGAGAAAGAGAGAAACATGATGGAGGAAGCACCATATTTAAAACCCTGCCAGGCTCATGTTGGGAAACCCAAAAAGTGCTTTCCCCTGGCTATGTTTCTGCTTGACCCTTGCCTCTTTCGTAAAACAATCCCTTCCATTGATTCCAGCAGTTCTCGTGCTGTTGGGGTCAATCAGGTCTAGGGAAGTAGAGTTGGAGCCACTGAACCCAAAATTTTCCTACAACTACCATAACCTGTCCCCAGAAACACACACACACACACTTCATCTCCTCCACCACCACCCGAGTATCAGTGGTGGAAAACACTGAACTGCAAACACACATTTTCATGCTTTTGCCAATGAGCGAAAATACACACTTTTGAGCAAAATGTGCACAGAAATGTACACTTTTCCCACTCAAACGAACTGAAAAACGTGCCACCAATAAAAATGGGAGTGACCCAAGCTGAACTTCCAGGTGAAGTTCAGAGAATTTTGCTGAGTTCCTATTTCTAACACACCATTTAGGAACGAGCCAATGAAAATCAGTGCATCATTACTGCAAATACTGCCTGGCACTGCAAACTGAGCCACAGTAAAACATCAGGGTCAGCACTGCATTTGTCTCCTTTTGCAGTTTGTCCATGTGCTGTGGCCATTCTCAATTCTTAATTAGACTGCTGCTGTTCTCTGAGTTAAATAACAACTGAAATCAATTTTTTGCGAGTGCTGAGGCAGGGACGTGCGCATGCGAGTGTGGTAGGGAAGCCACTAGAGAACCAAACCAGAAGAGTGCAAAACATTCAAGCGCAAGTCCTGTGTGAAGGGTTCCAGATGGGAGGGGTTTGGCACAGATGTGCTCTCTTCCAGGATTCCACTCAATCAGTGTTGCTATAAAACAGCAGATTAATGAATCAAACAGCACAGGAGTTTGCCAGGCTCTTTGGTTGTTAATAGTTGCAATGGGGATTGGAGGGGAGGGGAGGGGAGGGGAGCATAGCCTGAGGGTGGTGCTGCTTAGTTAAACTGAGAGCCTATGCTCAGCTTTGCAAAGCTTCACAGTCTTAAACAAAAACAGAACAGAAAACAAGGGTTCTTGATGGGGAAAATTGGGAAATGTGTTCTTGGTCACCCTGCCATATATTATATTAATTAGGAGAGATTGGAGAGAGGCACAGAGCAGGCAAGGAGCTTCCCAAATAGACCTTCCTGGGCCCTGAAATTGTCCTCATGGGCCTTGATCTTAGGGTCATTATCTGGCGCTTTCAGAGAACAAACATAAGACACACCCTCTTTTCTCTGATGCTACCACTCTTCCAGAGCCCTCCTCAGGTCGCCCATCTCCCAGGGCTGAAAAACTCCTTTCAACTTGTTTTACAATTAATCTGCTACCCATTTTACATTATACATTAAATTGATTTTAAAATATTGATGGAAGTATTGAATATGTGTTCATCTATACTTCTCACACTGTATATTTTCTCTGAATGGACTAGAGACGGATGAGCAATATATAAACAAACACTTAAATTAAATGCATATATGTTCGTTTCTTTACATTGCTCTTCTGCACACAGGGTTTAGCATCAGATGAATGAGCATGCCTCAGGGACATCGGCTTGCTCTGCCCTGTCCCTTGCCATGCTGATCTCTAAACACTCCGTAGTTATATTTAAACTATGGTTTGTTAGAAAAAGCTTGGATTGGAATCCACACTGCAACCCTCCATAAACCATAAGCCATGGTTTAAACTAATCTCAGTTGGCCCTCTTTAAATGTAATGACTAACTGTACGAAGTTTAAATCAACAAGCTTCCTGATCTTCTTTTTGCAGCAATCCTGGGAGGCTGAGCCCAAGGCTCATTTACATCATGTTAAAGTAAAGAATATTTTAGTTTTGCGTCTGAAACAGGCATAAAAAGCATAAAACATAAAAAGCAGTTGCCACTTGTAGTGAATTTGGAAGTTCCTGCTAAAGTAATATACCCAAGTCATTTTGGGGGCAAAATGCTGTTTCAGTAAGAATACAGAAGTTCCTCAGGGACGAGAAACACCTACATTGCTCTTAGTTCTGGCTTGGTTAAAGAAAAGACATGGGTGAATCAATGGTTTTGGCTTAAGTGAGGTCTCTGTGAGCTGTTAAGGAGTTTGATAAGACCGTTGGCAGGATTTCACTTCTCTGGTGCACAGGAGCATCATCGGTGGCTTCCACCTGAGTCAGACCATTGGTTTACTAATGCCAACTCTGACTGGCAGCAATGATGCTCCAGGGTCCCCTGTAGCCCTATGAGAAGATGCTGAAAATCGGACCTGGAAACTTCTGCATGCAACGCATGAGCTCTGCTGCTGAAGGGGATCATTCCCTGTCCCTGTCACTTGAGACTGCTGGTTCCTTTGCTCCAGTGCCCTTGCAAGTCTCTTTCTTTCCCACCTCTGCTAACAAAGTGCGTTTAACCTCCGGAGGCAAAGCTACTCAACTTCCACAACTACTCCTGCAGTTCTGGTGTATAAGGTTGCAAAGATGTTCACTTTAGCCTGCTTAACATGATAAAAGTAACTTAGGACTTTTTCATGTTCAACCTAGTCCATGCATAGTATTTATGCCCTTTTTAAAGGGAGGGGAGCTAACTGGCTTATATAAATTGAAGTTAAGTTGCTTAATTTAAATTTACAACCCCAGCAGCTTTGAAAGTATGATTGTATAGAAGCCAAACACAAACCCGATGCCGTAGAAACAATAGAGTTTAGCCTTAAATTCCTCTTCCCCTGATGGTTTATCCTGCCTCTTCCCATTTCCAGGGATGGTGCAGGGTTCAAAATTAGACCTCCTCCTTGCAGGGGGCCACTGGCAAGTCCCCAGCCTCCTGGCTATGCTGCTTTTCCTCCTTGCTGTCACCTGTTTACCTGCCCTTTCTAGCATTCAGCCGTTGACAAGAGTGAGGAGATGGAACAGCTTTTGCCATGTGCTCTTCCCTAGCACGGTTGTGTGTAGTGGGGCTCCAAGGGAAAGGGGAAGCAACACCACTGGCAAACAGTGGGCCAACTCAAAGAGGCATCTTGGAGCTCCACCTCCTCCAAAAACCTAGTGTCAATGCTGCCCGCCCTAAAAGGCCCTCTCCTATTCAGAAGTTGTTGCGATCCTCCTTGCTGTCTATGAAAAAGCCTTCTACTGCCTCTCTGTCTGATCTTGGTAATGATAACCACCTTTCCTATTTTCCTCTTTTGTTGTTGTCGTTGTCGAATCTAGGCCCCGGAGCAGTACACGATGGCAACAACGCAGCTTCCAGAGCAGCGGCCTGTTTCTGGCTCTCAGGCACCCTCTTTGCTTATTTCCTCCTCAAGTTTTGATAAGAAAAGTGAGGGTCCTTGCAGATGACACCTGGCTTCTCCCACACCACAGACTTTTGACCATCCACGATGCTGGGGGGGAGGGGGAACCCATTCCAGTCTACAGCTTGAATATACTGCCGGGAGGGGGAGGGGAGGGGAACTGGGCTCCAAGTCAACCACCCGTTAGGGATTGGCCAATCATGGGCATTCCCCAAAGCATTATTTGGTTTATTTTCCTCCCTTGATCCCAGCCCTCAAAAACAATACCTTACTTATGAATGGCAACCTCTCATTTCTGCTGTCAAGTGTTTCTTAACTGAGCCCACCAAAATGTCCCAGGAGAAGAGGAGTCTTGGTCCAAGAGAGGATGCACAACAGGAAGCTAAAAGCAAGTCCAGAAGTGTCCTGTTATCTCTGGTGTCTCCTGAGCAAAACAGATTGCTCCTTCTGCTTGTAACACTGTACATACCTGTTCATGTTTCTACATGTCTGATCACACCCCAGTTTTACCTAGCTTCCATCCAAGTGGCTTTTTTAAGGAACTGGCGGCTCTGAGGTCCAGACAGTCCCCTGCCCTTCCCCAGCACAAGGGTTCTGGCGGAAGCATGCGACTGGGAGTGACACGGGAGTGCGTCACATTTAGTCATGGGCTGAGAGTTACCAAAATGTTGGGAGTGCCAGAATGGCAGGGCCGGAGTACCCGGTTTGTCCTCTGTTAAAAGCGTGATGCCAGAATGAGACTTGAATGTGGATAATTTCACAGAAAGGTGAATCATGGACCTCCCACTGGTCAGAATATTCCCACCATTGTTCCATTCACCCATCCATCTGCCTTTCCAGCCATTTATTTACCATATCTATCAATGCAATTATCCTCTGAGGTTTTATTTTTATCCAACTCTCTCCTTCTCAGTTCCCCAGCAATTCTTCCATCCATCCATCAGTGTAATCACCTTTATTGAGTCCCGCCTCCATCGAGACAACTTTTTAATTCCTCATTATTCAACCCATCATTATTTTCACATTCTGCTGCAGCCCTTTTTGTCTCCTCTCCTGCAGAGGAAAGACAATTGGGAAGTGGCTTGGGGTCAGAACTAGTGGCACAGGTAAGCAGGGCACATTTAAAAATCAGAGGAAAAACAAAGGCACAATTTCCAGTAATGCTCCACTGTCAATGCCCCAGTTAAAATTGCTGCTTTTGGAGCCTCTTACATTCATGCCCCAAAGCAGCACAAATCATTCTTTATCTAACTAACACTATCCTGTTTCAAGCATTGCCTTAAAAGTAACCCACTTAAAATGCTGTGTTTTAATGTGGAGGCGTTTTATTGTCTATTCCAGTGTCCCTAATTTTGTAGTGCATATAGACATTTAAAAAAGAGTCATCCTGTTTCATTCTGGATATCCAAGGATAGCAGTATTATCAATCATCTCTCCAGCCTGGATCTGGCCTGACTTCCCACCACTTCTATCCCTTTGTTGTCTTAGAAGTCCATCCAGGGCCTGATGGAGGACAATTCATTTTCTAGAGTGTCTAAGACTTAACTCTTGCATTTGTTTGGAAACCTCTTCTGAACAGAGGGGATATGAATACCAACCTAATTTCCAAGTACTTAATTGATGTTGAAGGAGAGAAGGACACAGATGGGAGGAGAAGGAAGAAGAAAAGAAAACAAGATTCGTGTGATTTCCTGCATCTCGTCAGCTCCTGTGTAAGCCCCATGGAATGGCAGAGGAAACCTCCAGATCCCTGTTTCCCAAAGCAAAGTGACCACCTCAAGCTGTCAACATGATGTTTCCATTTGGAGATTCAGTTTGCTGAAAGGTCTGGCATGGCCCACTCCTTGTCTGGGTGATCTTGGCCAAGACGAAGGGCTGCATATGTCTGCACAAACAACATTGAGATGGGAAGGAGTTCTGCCACCTACAAGAAGAAAGATCTGCTTTCTGTGACGGGGTATATTTTGGGAATCTTTTTTGTGCACTAAAAACAGAATGAAACAAAACAGCTAGCAAGGTCGTAACCATGAGCAGGAGAGATGTCAATGGTCCAGCACTCTTAAATCAAATGCCCTATTTAGGACCTGCTTCAAATCATGCCCCAGGACCAAGTTGGACAAATGGGGTGGCCTGAGTAATTTCCATGCTCATTTATGAAGGTCAGCCATGCAAGGGTACTAATTACCTGTGTTCAATTTATGCTGTTTCTTCTGATATACACAGAGGTTATTTCCTAGGTGGAAACTGAGATGGAAAATAAAATAAATCTAGGATCCTGATAATCCATTTTTCCCTTCAGGAATTCTCTCCATTGGAGGATAGTCTCAAGACCAGGAGGTCCACCAGAACCTGAAAAGCAGTAAGGAAGTATTATGCCCATTGTACTGAGCTGCTATCAGCCATGTTTTGGGAACAATAAAATGACCTGGTGGATGGCAAGTGACTGCTGCTGATTCTCAATAGGTCTACATGGATGTTTTAAAAGATGTGCCATCAAGGTGTTTAGATTATCTACACATGTAAAACATGAATGATTAAAAGAGTCTGATATTTACTTATACAAGACTAAACATTTGGGTGGTATATTCATATATAAAAAATATGAAATGGTCAGGGCTTTGTTTTTAGTTGAATGATGAAAGCAAATCCACCAGAACTGCATTATTATTGAATGTACAGACTTTGCTTCCCCTAACTTATTTTATTGCCCATCAAATCTCAAGAAAAGAAGTACTCAAACCCTTCAGGGAGAGATGGGGGGAGATGATAGAGAATTGGAGAACATGGTTTCCAAAAATGTTTCATTGTTCTTTCAATTATGGAATGCACTTTCCTTTCCAAATTCCACCTTAACTGGAAGCTTCCCATACAACCGAGTGGATTACAGTCCATGAAAAGCCAACCATAATCGGGAGCTGCTCATACAGTGAAATGGATTGCAGTCCATGAAAGTGTGTGGCATAATAAATGTGTTGTTCATTAAGGTCCCCAAAATCTGTGTTGTTTTCACACGATCATGTAAGAAGGAAGAAGTCAACATCATGAAGCCATCCGGATGCTGATTTAATCTCAATAAGAAATTTGCAGCAGTATGTTTTAACCAAAAGAGTTTAGCACCTCTGTAGGAAATGCGTTGCTGGATCAGGCCAAAGTCCATTTTAGACCTATATCCACAGCACCCACCAGGGGCTCCTGAAGGCAGTAGCTTCTTCCCCTGGCCCAAAAGACTATGGAAGAGATGCATTTTAAATTTGGCTTGTCCTGGATCTGGCAACTGGTTAACTGGCTTACACAGGAGGTGTTTTAATGGCATATTATGTAAAGACACCAGGGGAGAGACTTCAGCTATTTTGCTTGTCAACTTAGATCAACATCTGGCTTGGTCCATCCATGATTGTTAGGTTTGAACTGAAAGCCACTAGATAACATTCAAGAGTCTGTTGTTTGCAGGAGCATCACAATCCTTGCATCAGTTCAAATAACTTATTTAACTCTCAAGGGGATAAGTAAATGCAATAGAATTGTGGATAGAAGAAGCATTTCAAATCTCAGAAACAGGTTTGCAAAATAGAAGATGTTTAAATTCATGCTTGGGAGTTATTGAGGGTTAAAATGCCTAAGTTTTGCTGATCAATCAGCTTGAGAAAGCTAAACCTAAGCAATCCCATTCCACCAACACTGTATTGTTTCTGTCTGGCTAATTGTGGAACCTTGTCATGGAAGAGGGATATGCAATTTCTGGTCCTCTAGCGCCTAGTCAACATAGCCAATGGTAAAGAATTATGTGAAATGTCATTCTTCAGATGTGTTGCTCTACAGCTCCCATGGTTCCTCTCCATTGGCTATGTTGGTTCGAGATGGAGAGCCACAAGGTGAAGATCAAAAGATCTGGTGAAGGGCTATGTCAACCGTAAGGAAAAAGAAGAACCTCTGACTTAAGCGAGGGAGTGGGGAGGATAGAAGTTCAGTTGGAGGTTTGCTGAAAAGGAAGGGGAGATTTCCTTCCAGAATGATGTGCACTGAAATGCTGATGAAACATGATGTACTAAGTTTGCCTGATAGTAGTAAATGTTAAGTGCCTCATGTATGATGTTTCTAATATTTTCCAAATGCATTTAGGAGAGTGTGCTTGGCTTTGCAAGAAATAGTGTGCATTCCAAGGGTGAGAAAAGTCCATGCACTGCCCCTGTGGTACGAAGCTTTGCTATGCCTGGGAATTACACAGAAAATGTGGGCTTCTGTTCACCTCAGTGCAGTCTTGTGCAGAGCTCCAACTCTGGCTGCACTGAAATGAATGAAGAGTAAGCAGCATAACCGATCAGTGTATGCTAATGGCCCCGAGCGCAGCTACACATGTGAGACTAAGCATAGGTCGCGGGATACAGATTTGCAGCCCTCAGCCCCAGTCTGGGGAAGGTGGCCACACAAGGCTCTTTGAAATCAACCAACAGGGTAAGTTGGCTGTGACCAACACCCGTCTTAGCAGGGCTAGTCTTCTGGATGCAGCCTTGAAGGCTGAGGCTGAAGGATAAGTCACTCATGGGGATTATCAAAGGCTGTGCTGCCAGAGAGTCTGAGAAGCTGCTTCAGGCCACTGGTTCCTGAAGGTCAGCTTTCCTCATATCCTGACTGCAGCTCCCAAGGTGACTTCAGCAAGGTGACTTGGGAGGGCAGGGATTTTACCTTCACAAAGTACAGCCTGTGCCCTGTCATGAAGTTAGGCCTTTCTGGTCGCTTTGCCATGGGAATGCAAAAACTACCCTGGCCAGAATGCATATTTATGTTACAAATAGCTCTGCCTCTGTATTCTCATTCAAAGTAGCAAACAAAAAGCTGGACCAGCTGGACCTTGGTCTTATCCAGCACAGCTCTTCTGTCCATACGATCTACATAGCAGCCTACATTATATCCAATAGAGTTTGAAAGGCAGTTTAGTCTGTATGTGTGAAAACAAAGAGCAAACATAAAAACAACCCCAGATTGTGATTTATACCCCCCAGAAAAGAGGCAGGGGAGAA